CACACACACACACACACACACACACACACACACACACACACACACACACACACACACATATACACACACAAGAGCGCACATGAGCAATGTCTTTGACGGGTGTGAATCCTGTTTTGGAGGAGACTTTGAACAGTCGAATCTGCTGGTCCCGCGCCAGCACGCCAGCGGCAGCCCTAGAATAAATACGCACACACACACACACACAGCCGCACACAGGAGTGAGTTAACGTAGATGTGTGTATGCGTGTGTGTGTGTGTGTGTGCGCGCAACGGGTTACGTTTGGTGTTGCCCAGCAAAATGGTTGCAATGTGTGAGCGGCCCAGTCATAAGGCCTGTGTGTTCAGCCTTCGACTAACTTTCCGTCTGTCGAGAAGGCAAAGTGGGTGATGTGGTCAAGCTCAATGCGAGACGAGATGGGCTTGTGGTCGCTGCCTTCAAACGACTTTCTTGGCCACAGGCGCAGCGTCCGGTCTTCACTGCAGGTGGCAAGCGCCTGATGATTTTAAGTGGATGATGAAGGACGGGGGAGGGATTGAATATGTTAGGAAGCATTTTCATGCTTCAAGTCAATGCAGAGGCGGCAGGGTGGGTGTTCGAATGCAAGGAAAGATAGTCTATGTCAATCACACACACACACATACACATACACGCGCGCACATACAGCGCAAAAGCAGGTGTCACTGACCGTGCCGCTGGGAGCAAACACAGCGTCGAGAATGGGTTCCGTGTGGCCCTTGAGCGCCGTGACGAAGAGCGGATCCGTGGGGTCGGGGACCTTCACCTTGCCCTTCCTGTTCTTCCCTTTCATGTACAGCCGCTGCAGCTGCTTCAGAGACATGTTCTTCACACCGGACGCGTCATCCTCGGTCTTGTTCTTCTTGCCTTTGCTCTTCTTCTTGTTCTTGTTCTTCTTGTTCTTCTTCTCGCCGTCTTGGTCCTGCCCCTTCCTCTCGCTGGCGCTGCCCTTCTTGCCCGCAAACAGCACAACGTATGCGCCAATCGCCAGCACCACCAGGGCAACCACAATCTGCACCACGTCCACCATCTCGAAGAAAGAGAGAGAGAGAGAGTGTGTGTGTGTGTGTGTGTGTGTGTGCGTGCTTGGATGTGGTGGTGTTAGTGCTGTTCTGTAACCGCTGAGTGCTTCTGCAAAACACGCAAACGTGAATTTCGCCAAGAGAAGATCGCTCGCACGACAGAAGACAGCAGACAAGAGGTGAGCCAGTGGCTTGGTTGGTGTGCTGTGTGGAGGCGTGCGCATCCATGCCGTGTGTGCACGCGCGTGTGTCGCAGCCCACCCTCTGCCCATGACTCTCGCCTTCATGCCATCACTCACACCCACTCACAACGCACTTGCACACACATTCATTCGCACGTTTCTTTCCTTCTTCCCTCTTTTCCTTCTTCACATCAAGCAGAGTGAGTGAACAACTTCACATCAAGTGACCAGCCGCCATGTCGGAGCAAGCGTTGGACCGCATCCAGCGTCAGCTGCAGGATGCGCAAGAGAAGGCGAGGCGCGGCGGCGCACCGGTGGAGGCCGCTGCCGCTCCTGTGAAGAAGGAGCTCTCGGAGGCTGTCAAGGCCGGTATGGCCGCAGGCAACATCAACATCAGTGACACAGGTACGCACGCGCACAGCCACCGTCACACATGAGCACCTGTGATGGTGGTGGTGGTGGTGGTGGTGGTGGTGGTGGTGGTGTTGTTGTTGCGTTTGGTGAGATATGATAGGGTCCAAAGCAAGGGGCATCATCAGCAACACCAACAAAGGACAAACGTGTTGATAGAGCCGTTGTTATCCGATCCCCCCCCCCACTCACCACGTCCTGTTCTGCTGCACACGGTGCCGCCGGCACGTGCTGTGTGTGCACTCTGTCTTGTCACTGCGCCATCCACACACTGCAGGCGCCCGCATGCAGCTGTCTGAGACAAGCCAGATGGAGCAGAAGCGGCAAGATGCCATCCTTGACGAACTCGAGCGAAGAAAGAAGGTCGGTGTCGTGTGGGAGGTGTTGTATTGGGGATTGTGAGGCAGTCACTCCGACTTTGGGTGCACGGCTGTTTCGAGCGACATATGCCTGTTTCCGATGATTGTGTTGCTCTTCGTGTAGAATGAGTCGACATGACATGCCGCACACACACACACACACACACACACACACACACACACACACACACACACACACACACACACACACACACACACACAATCCATGACAGGAGCGGGAGGTGCTGCTTCCTGCGACGGATGAGGGCGTCATCCTGAAGCTGAGGGAACTCGGCGAGCCCGTCAGTGAGTAACCAGTCATGCCGCAACAGCGGCATATGTGCGTTGCACCTTGTGTATGTATGCGTGGTGCTGTTTGTGGTGAAGGCGTCTCTCTCGCTTGCATTCATTCAGCTAACCAACCAATACGCAAACACACACACACACACACGCACACACACACACACACACACACACACACACACACACACACACACACACACACACACA